CATTACACCATTCCGGGTAGGGTGGGACCTACACCGGTACACCATGACACCATGACACCATTACACTATTTCGCCATTACGCCATACACTTGTCGTGGGCGTGGTCGTCGCCGATTGCCTTCGTTGTCGTCGACGACGTACGAATGCGTTCCCGATTGTTCTCCTCCCTTTTCAGAGGCTTCCCTTGGAGCCCCCCTTCGGCCGCCTCCATCCTTTCTCGGGGGTCCCCAAATGCGTTTCCCAAAGCCCTCTTGGATGCCCTCTCGGTAATCGGTGCAGCGGTGCAGGGGTGTAATGGTGCAGCGATGGTGTGGCGTAGCAGCACAAGGGTATAATGGCGTACTGGTGTACTGGTCGCCAAACGCGTTCCCCCCCCCCCCCCCCGGGGGTCCAGAGGGCCCTCTTGTTGCCCCCTGCGGCCGCCCCCAGGCTTTCCCAGGGGTCGCCAAATGCGTTCCTATCTCTCTCCCCCTTTTTTGTTGTTGTTCTCTCTCTCTCTCTCTCTTTCTCTACCTCTCTTTTCTGTTTTTTTTTCTCTCTCTCTCTCTCTCTCTCTCTCTCTCTTTCTGCCTTTAATCAACCGCCCCCCTCTTCGCTCCTTCTCTCCTGGCGTTTTCCATTTTCCTTCGTCCCTCTCCCTCCTTTCCTCCCACTTTCCCTCGTTATCATCCTCCTTTTTTGCAGGGCCCACACCAAGTCCAATGGCGGGCACATGTACGCCCACGAAGGATTGTCCGCCCGTTCAGGTTTGCCCGCCTGTCTAAGCCCGCCGCCCCCCGCAAAGAGAAACAATCCCCCCAAAGGGGGTGTGATTGAAGACAAAAAGGGCGGGTATCGAAGGTGTGGGGGACTCGTTTTGAATGACACGCGGGCAAGTAAGAGCGAATTGTCTTATACTGATTGTTGTTGGTGTTGTTGTTGTTGTTGTTGACGGACACGTGCGCTGACAACCCGTATCCCCCCACACGCACACACACATACACACACACACACCAACACCCCAACACCCCAACAGCCCCGTGGGGCCCCTGCGGTGGCCCCACCGGGCTGTTGGGGTGTTGGTGCTGGTGTCCTACAGAATTCCATAGGGGTCCAATCGGATGTTTGGGGGTTCTATACGACTCCATCGGGGACCTATACGATTCTATAGGAATCCAATAAAGATGCCATCGGGATCCCATCGGATTCCATGAGGATCTGGTGGGATTCCATTGAAACCCTATAGGATCCCAAATGGGATCTTATCGGGTTCCATAGGAATCCGTCGAAATCCTTTTAGGATCCCTGAGAATCCTTACATGAACCCCATGGAAACCTTTAAGATTCCTACATGATCCCTATGGAATCCTAAAAGATGCCGAGGGAATCCCCCAGGTGTCCCATCTGGCCCCTATGGAGTCTTATAGGTTTTGTATGGGATCCTACAGGACCCGCATGGGATCCTGTAGGACCCCTGCAGGATCCATATGGGGTCCTATAGGATTCGTATGGAATCATATAGAAATCCAAATGGAATCCGATGGGATCCCGATGGGTTCTTATAGAAGTTCTATGGGATCCCCATGGTGGCCGTCGCTCTGATCACATGCTTAAGCACTTCCCGGTAGGAATCCTTAGGGGATCCTTGGGAATGGGTCCCTCGGGGATCATACGGGATCCTTCGGGCACCCGGAAGAATCCTGAGGGAATCCACCTCTCGAGGATCGTGGTCCTGGCCCCACAGGGGGCACCACCGAAGATTGATTTTGGCACACCACTCTCGAGGATCGTGGTCCTGGCCCCCACAGGGAGCTACTAATACAGGCCGCGTAGGCTTTGTATAGGATCCCATACAAGGCGTGTAAGCTCTGTATAGGATCCCACATAGGGCGTGTAGGCTCTGTAAAGGACCCCGTACAGGCCGTGTAGGTTTTGTACAGGATCCCAGACAGGCCGTGTACGTTCTGTTCAGGATCCCATACAGGGCGTGTAGGCTGCGTATAGGACTCCATACAGGCCATGCGTGCTCAGTATAGGATCCCACACAGGGCGTGTAGGCTCTGTATAGGATCCCATACATGGGTGTGTAGGCTTTGTATAGGATCCACACAGGCCGTGTAGGCTCTGTATAGGATCCCACACACGGCCTGTAGGCCCCGTATAGATCCCATACAGGGCGCGTACTCTCTGTATCGGATCCCGTACAGGCCGTGCAGGCTGTGCATAGGATCCCGTGCAGGCCGTGTAGGCTTTGTATAAGGATCCCACACACGCCGTGTAGGTTCTGTATAGGATCCTGTACAGGCCGCGTAGGGTCTGTAGAGGATCCCACTCAGGGCGTGTAGGCTCCGTATAGGATTCCATACAGGCTGTGTAGTCTCTGCATAGGATCCCATACAGGCCGTGTGGGCTCTGTATAAGGTCCCATACAGGGCGTGTAGGCTTTGGGTCGGATCCCATACAGGGCGTGTAGGCTCTGTGTAGGATCCCACACAGGCCGTGCATGCTCTGTATAGGATTCCATACAGATCGTGCAGGCTCTGTGTAAGATTCCATACAGGCCGTGTAGGCTTTCTATAGGATCCCACACAGGGCGTGTAGGTCCTGCATCGGATCCCATACAGGGCGTGTAGGCTCCGTATAGGATTCCATACAGGCTGCGAAGCTTCTGCATCGGATCCCCAACAGGGCGTGTAGGCTCTGTATAGGATCCCACACAGGCCGTGTGGGCTCTGAAAGGATACCATACAAGGGGGTTGCAGGCTCGGTGTAGGATCCCATATAGGCCGTCTAGGCTCTGTATAGGATTCCATACAGGGTTTGTAGGCCCTGTATAGGATTCCACACATGGCGTGTAGGCTCCCTATAGGATTCCATACAGGCTGTGAAGTTTCTGCATCGGATCCCCAACAGGGCGTGTAGGCTCTGTATAGGATCCCACACGGGCCGTGTGGGCTCTGAAAGGATACCATACAAGGGGGTTGCAGGCTCGGTGTAGGATCCCATATAGGCCGTGTAGGCTCTGTATCGGATTCCATACAGGGTTTGTAGGCCCTGTATAGGATTCCACACATGGCGTGTAGGCTCTGTATACGATCCCCAACTGGGCGTGTAGGCTTTGTATAAGATTCCGCACTGGCCGTGTAGGCTCTGTATAGGATCCCAAGCAGGCCGTGTATGCCGGTGTAGGACCCCTTACAGGGCGTGCAGTCTCTGCACAGGACCCCATGCAGGGCGTGTAGGATCTGTATAGGATCCCGCACAGGCCGTGTAGGCTCTGCATAGGATCCCATACAGGGCGTGCAGGCTCTGTGTAGGATCCCATGCAGGCCGTGTATGATCTGTATAGGATCCCATACAAGGCGTGTAGGCTCTGTATAGGATCCCAAACAGACAGGCCGTGTAGGCTGTATATTGGATCCCCGACAGGCCGTGTAGGCTGTCTATGGGATCCCATACAGGGCGTGTAGGCGCTGTGTAGGATCCCGTGCAGGCCGTGCATGCTCTGTATAGGATCCCATACAGGGCGTGTCGGTTTTGTATAGGATCCCGTACAGGCCGTGCAGGTTCTGTATAGGATCCCAAACAGGCCGTGTAGGCTCTGATAAGATCCCATACAGGGCGTGTGGGCTCTGCATAGGATCTCACACAGGCCGTGTAGGCTCTGTATAGGCTGCTTGGCCGTGTAGGCTGTGTATAGGATTACACACAGGGCGTGCAGGCTTTGTATAGGATCCCATACAGGGTGTAGGCTCTGTGTAGGATCCCATACAGGCCGTGTAGCCTCTCTATAGGATCCCAAACAGGGCTTGTAAGCACTGTGCCGGATCCCGTATAGGCCGCACAGGCTTTGTGCAGGATCCTAAGCAGGCCGTGCATGCTTTGTATTGGATCCCATACAGGGCGTGTAGGCTCTGTATAGGATCCCCAACAGGGCGTGTAGGCTCTGTAGATTGGATCCCACACAGGCCGTGTAGGCTCTGTATAGGATCCCACACAGGCCGTGCAGGCTTTGTGTAGGATCGCATGCAGGGCGTGTAATCCCCGTATAGGATCCGATACAGGCCGTGTAGGCTCTCAATGGGATCCCATACAGGCCATGTAGTCTCTGTACAGGATTCCATACAGGGCGTGTAGGCTCTGTATAGGATCGTAGGAATCCCCAGAGATTCCCTAGGGATTTCTAGGATTCCGCATGGATTCCGAAGGATGCCCGAAGGTCGCTTCGCCGGTTCCGTAGCCATTTTGGCTCAAGCCCCGCCGGGCCGAGAGCCGGCCGGACATGGCCCGCCCCGGCCGCCAGCGGCGGCCACCGCGGCCCGCGGGGCCGCCCGCCGTGGCGAGCCGCGATGGCCACGCTGCTGGAGCTGTGCAACGAGTGGCTGCTGTTCGCCATCCTGGTCGTGGCTGTCGCCATTGTCATCTACAACCGGCACAGGTTCCTGTTTCTGATCACCGGCGACGACAGGGTGCACGCCGACGTGCACAGCACCATTTGGAGCGTGCTCACCTGCTGCCGGATGTGCACCGGCGAGTGGACAAGGTACCTCAGCGTCTGCCTGTGCTTCTGGCACAAGGGCCTCCGCGGCCGCAACCTCAAGCGGGTCTTGGGGCAGACGCTCGGCCTGGTGCCCATACCCATCCGTTTCAGCAACATTGTTGTCGGCGACCTGCCGGCGGCCTCCTGCGGCGACTTCTTCGTCGCGATCGAGGTCGGCGAGTGTCCGGTACAGATCACGTCCATCGCGGAGGATGCCAACCCTAAGGTGGTGCAGTTCGAGGAGACCCTCATCGTGCGGGTTCGCAATTCGCCAGCAGAGTTCTCCATCCGATTCTCGGTGCGGCAGGTGAACACGTTCGGCTGCAGAGAGCTCTGCGAGTGCTACATATCGCCCATGGAAGTGGTGCGGTGGGCCGATATCGGTTTCTGCGGTTCCCGCAGGGAAATTCCGCACAGGGACGGCACGGAATCGCCGCACGCCTCCTTCTGCTGACTGAAGACGTCCAGGCAGAGGGGCCCCATGCGCTTCAAGATGGAGCCGTTGAACCGCAGCCTGCACCTGAACTTCCATCCCTGGATCCTGGTGGAGATCCTACCCCAGCCGGAATATGGAACCGCCAGGCCGTGGGAAGCTCCTGCCGTGTTCGACGTGCAGCTCACGGAACTGACGACGCGAGAGTTCATGGGCTTCAGGTCCCCCTCCTCTTTCAAGCACAAGTACACGCTCCTCAACACGCACGGCGCGAAGGTTGACGAGCCAGATGAGGAGACCATGGGGGAGCTGGACGCCACGCGGCGAAGCCAGGCCGCGTGCTGCAAGAACATGTGTTTCTTCTTGTGGCTGATATCGTTATGCTTCCTCTTCGTGCGTTATTATTGTTTTGCGTGCACGTACGAATTTGAGAAGGTGGCGATGTTGAAGAATTTTGTCGAGGACGACTTTCCGGTCCCAGAGGAGAGGAGAGAGCATTTATTGCTCAAGTGCGAGATGACAGAGCCAGCTATCCTCAGATTGCTCGCGGATTTCTTCCAGCACACCTCTGAGGGATCCGTACACTATGCCGACCTGGCTCACAACCACACGGGCATAAAGGTTCCAGACGTGGTGGTGTCGGGCCTCAGCAACGTGACGCACCACGCGCTCCACCACGGCTCGCGCATCGCGGGCGTTGCAGGTGACCTGGCAAGGCACATTTCGAACGCCACGTCTAAGCACCTCGCGAACCTGACGGAGCGCGTCGGAAGCATCGAGGTCGATGATTTGGTGGACGGCGCCGCCAATGTCGGAGGACACCTCGCAAACGCTGGGGCCAGTGCACTGCATCATGGTTCGCGCGCCGTCGACCAGGCCGTCAGTGCTGAGAGGAAACCGCGGCGCTTGGAGTCGCCGACGAGCTCGCGAGCATCTCTCTCGAAGAGCAGCTTGGAGGAGGAGCTGGAGTGCAACCCGGACATAGATGGCATCCTTGCGACTTGCGAGGAGTTCCCGTTCGGAGAGCCGTGGCCCATGCTGCCCCTCCCGGTGTTTGGGTTGTGCTCGCTCCCCGTGCCCTGCGCCCACGGATCCACATGCAAGGCCTCGATGCACATGGAGAGGTACGACTTCCCGTTCGCGTGTTTCCTCACCTTGTGGGTCGTGATTTTCTTTTGTTCGCGCAGATATTTCGCCCACAGGATCCATGTGTTGACTGAACTCGCGCATAGTATTCATTGACTCGACGTTCTTCAGATAATAGCTGCCGCGACGCCAACCGCAGACTGCATGTTGCCGTGCCCTCAGCCCGCTCGACCGGGAGCCCCCCAGGGCGCCACATCCACGCCTGCGGGTGCACTCTGCCCTGCCCTCTCCCGGAACTGCCCTACCCTCTCCCCGAAGCAAGCGGTGCAGGAGAGAGACCTTTTCGAGATGTGAAGAAGAGGAGGAGGAGGAGGAGGAGGAGGAGGAGGAGGAGGAGGAGGAGGAGGAGGAGGGTCCCTGCTTGTGGGGCCCTGGCTCCCCGCACGCCGAAGAATTCGCTGGGCGGCAAAGACCTCCCCCCCTGCCCCCTCGCCGGTGGCGAGCCCGGGTCCCTCGCGTCGCGAGAAAAACAAAAGGTCGCTTCGCCGGTGCGCACATCGCCTCCAATCGCAGAAATACGTGGTGGTGCGTAAGGGTGGTCTCAGAATCCCTACGGAATCCTATAGGATTCCGTAGGGATTCTGTGGAGTCGGTCTTGGTGTTGGTGTTGGTGTTGGGGGGGGTAGTGGGTCCACGGGTCGTCAGTCCACATGTTCCCCCAGTGGGTGAAGGCGTGGATTGTCGGGCCGCGGACGGGTGGGCAGTGCACGTGTCGACCTTGTTGTTGTTTGTCGTTGCCCCCCCCCCCCCGCGACCCACCCGCGACCCACCCCGCGACCCACCCCGCGACCGCCCCGCGACCCCCCGCGACCCACGTGCGACCCACCCCAGACCAACCCGACCAACCCGCGACCACCGCGACCCACCGCGACCCACCCGCGACCCACCCGCGGCCCCCCCGCGATCCACACCGCGACCCACCCCGCGACCCCCATCCTCGACCCACCGCGACCCACCCGCGACGCACCCGCGACCCATCCGCGACCCATCCGCGACCCCGCGACCCACCCGCGACCCACGTGCGACCCACCCCGGACCACCCCGCGACCACACCGCGACCCACCACCCGCGACCCCGCGACCAACCCGCGACCCCCCCCCGCGATCCACCCGCGATCCACCCCGCGACCCATCCTCGACCCACCCGCGACCCACCCGCGACGCACCCGCGACCCATCCGCGACCCATCCGCGACCCACCCGCGACGCACCTGCGACCCACACGCGACCCACTTGCGACCCAACCGCGACTGATCCACATTGGTTTGCAGAAAAATCGGCGCCTGCGGCGCCTGCGGTGGGCTTTTCCAGAGTCTTGCAGACAGGCGACGCCCCCACCGCCCCTTCACTCTTATCCGCATCTGCGGGGTTATTCGTCTTCGTCGTCCTCGTCCTCCTCCCTCGTCGTCCTCTTCCTCCTCCTCCTCCTCCTCCTCCTCCTCCTCATCATCATCATCATCATCATCATCATCATCATCCCTCCTTCCTCCTCCCTCGCTCCTTGTCCCTCGTCTCTCGTTCCTCGCGCGACCGTCTCCTGCCAGTACCCGCGCGAGGTGGCCTCCCCCCTCGATCTTGAGATGCAGCGGGTGCTCGTGGACCACCTCCACGCCCACCCGCGCCTCTTCAGGGCGAGCCCTCGAGCAGGAGGAGGAGGAGGAGGAGGAAGAGGAGGAGGAGGAGGAGGAGGAGGCGGAGGAGGAGGAGGAGGAGGAGGAGGAGGAGGAGGAGGAGGAGGAGGAGGAGGAGGGG